GTGCTGGGCTCTGGGCTGTCTGTGGCTTCTGGGATGGCACCTTGGGAGCTCCACTAGTGTGCACTGGTCTGTGTTGACACAGAGTGACCACTGGTCCGATGGTGCCAGGTGTGCTGGTGGGCTCAGGTTGCTGGGCTCTAGCTGCTCCCACTGCCTCCTCCCAGGGAAGACCTGGGATCTTCCAAAATGGTGGGACCTCCTGTGGAGCAGGGATAAGGGCCGCTTACTGTGGTAGCCGGCTGCTCCTGTCCACAGCACAGGAACTTTCTGCTCTGTGGCTCTGCACTGCCTGGGTTTGGTCGTCCACCTTCACGTCCACTCACACTCTCTCAGACACTCACCCTCACACCTGTCCTGCCCACTGCCATCTTCCGTCCTGGGCTCTTTATTCTATCCCAGCTACTACTTTTGTGAGATACCAGGACCCAACCACTTGGGACATTAACACTAAGCCATTTGGGACATTCTCTCCCCTCAGTCCAATCTCTCCAGATTCTCAGGTTTATGGCAGTTAAATCCCGAAGCAGCCCTGGATTGAGAAGTCTCAGTGATGTGGCAAATACAAATAGTCCTGAACCTACCATCGGAAAGCCTGCCACTTCTGGGGCAGCGATGGAACCCAAAGAGCACTCTGTCCTCTCACCCAGATACAATGTTTGTTTGGCTAGATTAGTATTCTAGATACTGGCCCCAAACCAAGTTGACCTCTGGTGTGGGAGGAAAAAGGAAGGAGATGGTCTTCATCTCACAATTAATCTCTTGACTTTCTATCTGGAGAAACCATTAATAGGTGACTTGAAGTAATTAAATGACTAGTCTCTGGAGAGTGCTGATGAATTGACTGCAATTTTTATTTTTATAATAATACTATCTGGACTTGAATCAGCTAGGATCTCACAGACTATTAGATTCTGTACTTTTGATGACTAAGGGAGAAGAGAGGGGAACATATTATCATTTTTGGCTGATTAAAGGGGAGAAAAATCTGGTGCTTTTTTCAAAAGGAAAAAAAATCATTAAAATAATTTAAAGTTATTAATCCACTAAGAATCAGAACACAGGCCAAAGCTTGTCATTGAGTTAATAATAGTTGGCGAGTCCTTTCAGACATAGCTTTTGTGAGGTCATTTTTTGAGGCTAGTGGTGAAAAGCTTCATGGTCACAGAGCTACATTTGGCGATAAATTAGCTCAGCTTGTTCCCACATGGTCCAAAGATCTTCATTTGTTCCATCATGCAAAACAAACTTTCATTTGCTTCAAGTAGGGAAAAATAAATGCTTTTCTTTTGCACATTTTGACAATTTAATTTTAAGCATGCTTATATGTTAATCTTTTAAAAAATATCACTTTTCTTTTCCTTGTTTGGTTTTAGTGTCTGCGAAGGAAAAAAAAATATGTTTTTAGCTTTTAGCAGAAATAGCCAGATTTTCTCAAGGCAACAGCAATCCAGGACAAAAGAAAATACATGTAACTTAACACATGGTTGAGGAAAATCCTTTCCCTAAGTATGAAATGGGCGATTACACCTTAGATCACGATAACCTTATGATATTGCTGTTGGAGATGTGGGTATGAATTGGTGACTAAATCCTTCCTTATTCTTATGGTACTAGTTTAAAGTAAAAACTGATCACTTTTAACTATAGTATGCAGCAAATGTGATATCAGTTGCATTCTCAAAATGCCTCAAGTTAGAACGGCAAAAAAACGGATCCCAACCAGAGCTGTGGGAAATGTCACCTGGATTACTAACTTTTGCAAAAATATCCTAGTCAAGGTTTCCTCTGATGAACCAGTAGAGTGCAGTGGTGGCTGACAGTGGTAGCAGTAGCAATGACAATAATATCATGTGATAGGCCCTGTACTAAGAGTTTTACATACATGAACTCATTCAATCCTATGAGATAGGTCATGTTATCTCCATTTTAAAGATGAGGAAATTGAGGCTTAAAGAAATAAAGTAGACGTGGCTGGTGTGGCTCAGCAGTAAGAGCATCGGCCCTTGGAACAAAGGGTCACAGGTTTGATTCCTGGTCAAGGGCATGTACCTGGGTTGCAGGTTCAATCCCCAGCCCTGGCTGGGGTTGTGCAGGAGGCAACTGATCTACGTGTCTCTCTCATATTGATCTTTCTCTTTCTCTCTCCCTCCCTCCCTTTTACTCTCTCTAAAAATCAATAGAAAAATATCCTCAGATAAGGATTAACCTCCCCCCAAAAATAAGTAGATGAGGTAACTTGCAAAGGTCTCACAGCTTTCTGACACGAGAGACACACCCTCAGCCCTTGCACTGTAGTTCTATCAGCCTGCCGGGCTTGGAATACTGGCCTGCCACTTCCTAGCTATATGACCTTGGCAAGTTATTTAACCTAAGTATCAGTTCTGTAAGTGAGTTGTTCCTATATTTAAATAAGATAGTTCATTCAAAACACTTACAGGACCTGGAAAGAATAAATATTTAATAAAGGTTAACTGTTATTAAAATAAGAGAAATTAACAAAAAATAAAAAAATTAATAGAGGTTTTATTTTGTTTGGTATAGTTGTGTATGTGTGCATGTTTTCTAGTCCTCATGACCCCCTTTTTCCCCCCTTATGACCCTTTTTAGTTACCTCTTAGCAATAAAATTAGTCATAGAAATGATGACAATTAATAGGACTTTACATTTCTCAAAGTGCTTATGTGAATTATTCAGTTTGAACCTTAAAACAGTCTCTAATATTTGTCAGCAAACTGAGGCTTGGAGAAGTGAAGGGACACACTGGCCTCAGCTGACAGCAGAAGCTGAGTCCAGATTTGAACCCATGAGAGCGAGTTCAATTCATACACTTCGATGTTGAGTCAATTAATTGCTTTTAGTAATACTTAACTCATCTTGGGTTTTCTAAGTATATGATCAAATCACCTGTACATATTCATGTTACTATTCCTTTCCACAGTTTATGACTTTCATTTGTTCTTTTCCTAACCTTCATTGGCAGCTGTTGTATTAAATAGAAACTTCTCTTCCCTTTTGCACCTTTGCAATGCCCTCTGTATGCCCTCCTCCAAATGCCTGGATGTGGCCCATGCCTGTCCCATCGAGCTGGCAGAGTGGATTCAAATGTTTCCTTTGCTGTAAAAATTCTCTCTGAGCTTCCCAGATAGAGTAATCTCTCTTTACGCTAAACCAGTGGTTCTCAGCTGGGAGTGATTTTACCCCCAAGGAAACATTTGGCAATGTTTGAAGTCATTTTTGGTTGTCATAATTGATGCAGAGGGTTCTACGGGCATCTAATCTGTCAAAGCCAGTAGGGATGCTGCTAAACACCCTCTAGGGCACAGGACAGCTCCCTTTAATGAAGAACTATCCAGCCTAAAATGTCAGTAGTGCAGAGGCTGAGAAATCCTGTTCTAAACTAAAGGCTTAAGGCCTTATGATACATATTACTTTCTGCTTAAAAAAATTTACATATATATATATATATATACACATATATATATATATCATCATCATCAACTGTATCGTTTGAGGGCAGGGATTCTGTCTTAATTAGTCACCTTTTTACCATTAATGTTCACAATAATTAGCAAGTCTCCCTTTACATCCATCTGTATTACTTCATTAAATGCCCTAGATTAATTTAAACATCAATCAACCATTAATAACAAATGATGGCATATTTTATTTTATTTTATTTATTCTCACCCGAGGATATTTTTGCATTTATCTTCAGGTAGAGTGGGAAGGAGAGAGGGAGGAAGAGAGAGAGAGAAACATCAATGTGAGAGACACATCGACTGGTTGCCACCCACACGACCCCAACAGGGGCCGGGGATGAACCGCAACCAATGTACATGCCCTTAGCGGGAACTGAACCCGGGACTCTCTGGTCCACGGGCCAACACTCTAACCACTGAGCAAAACTGGCCAGGGCTGACAGCATATTTTACATAAAACAATTTTAAAAGTTTCCTGAAGACATTAGATAAATTAAAAAAATAATGTAGGACCTAAGTTTTTAAATTTATAAAATGCAGACATTGCTCATTCTTATTTCTGATTCCATACAACTTCCCCAAATGACTGAACAAACCATAATGTATTTTTAAAAAACAGTATGGAAAAATGATATATTTGACAAGATACAGTTCACATGTGAATGCATTTGGAAAAACATTTTAACCATGAAAAATTTGACAATGTTGACCAGAAACTTTACTAGCAGAATCACAAAAGGAGAAAAAGAAAAAGTGAAGCCACGTTCAAGACAATAGGCTCAAGGGAAACATGACCAGAGAAAACCAAGAATCAGCAGAGCACCTGGGGTCACATTTAAAGCTCAAATTTTAAAAATAAATGTGATCTCCTTGGAAGTGAGTTGACATTCCTCTACTTAAAGTACCTAACATGTCACATTCATTATCATATGTCAGCAGCAATGCAGACAGGAGTTTGCCAAGGAAGAGAATACGGATCTCCACAATTCTTCTCCCCAGTGATATGTCCAACAAGAGGTGGAAGATACAATCAATACATGATGGCTTTGCTATAGAACAAATCTTTCTTACAGCCAGGAAGGCTTCTGTTATTTTCCACTAAAAGCTATATTTCTAAATAAAATTTTGAAGAGCAATGTTCTAGGTTACCTTTGGAGGGGGCAAAATACAAATCAGGTAGTTAACTGGTACATCCAATTTTTGTGTGTGGTTTTCCTTTTATGTAATACTTTTATGGAACGGTCTAACAAATACATCCCTTGAAGTGGAATTTACCGGATTTTATTATGCTCATAAAATTTTCATAAAATTCATAATAATGACACTGAAAAATAATAATCTGCTGTGATCAGTAGTCTGCGGAGTGGGCTCGATGAAGATGGACGAGCATATGGCAGCTCCAAGATCAGACCCATTTCAGTAATTTGTTCCCAGTTTTTAAAGCACATAATTTCTATGGATACTACTCTTTATTTCCTGATCAAGCAGTGCTATAATGAGATGAATTAAAGAATTACTTACCTAGTAAGTCTGAAGCTCTCAAATTTTCTTTCAGAAACATAACAGAAATAAAGGCACTACCTAGAATAAAAATGGCCATTAGTGATGTCCCCAATATAAAAACATATATTATGTAATGCCATCGGAAGGAGTTAAGCAGTTTATGTCTTAGGCCTGACTAGCTGTGTCCTGGTCAGAGACATCCAGCTGCTGTGGCTGAAAAAATGACTTCGTTCCCCCTCATGGCTCAGGGTACATGGAAAGTGGCCTAGTTGACAATGGCCCTAGGACAATGATTGGGATAGTGCCCCATATACAGTGACAGCCTAATAATGAAATGAATGAATGGAAAGGAAGGAAGGGAAGGAGGAAGGAGGGATAATAGAAAGAAAGGAAGGGGAGAAAGGCAGAAAAAGCAGGAAGGGATGGGAAGGCAAAAAAGCAGAAAGAGAGAGAAGAGAAGAGAAGAGAAGAGAAGAGAAGAGAAGAGAAGAGAAGAGAAGAGAAGAGAAGAGAAGAGAAGAGAAGAGAAGAGAAGAGAAAAGGGTGGAAAGAAGAAAGTCTTAACTGAATCTCATTATTTTCCATTACCTCCCCCTATAATCCTTATTCCTATGGTACCTCTATCAATCACCAGAATCCTAGTACTCCCCTTAATCGCCCCTCCTTCACACTACACATCCAACAGGCTACTGGTCTGTTAACTCTGAATTTCTCTCTCAGACCCTCCTCCCCCCTTCATTTCCCTGTCACTGTCCCAGCTCAGGCCAGTGTAGCCTCTGGCTCAGGCTGCTATCACAGCTCCCCACTGGGGCCTCCCATTTCATCACCCCTTCCCCTTAGCACCAACAGAGTAATCTTTCTGAAATGCAAATCTAACATCAATCCACAGCTTAAAAACCTCTTAATAGCTTCTTCTCATTTACAGGACAAAGCCTGCCATTCAAAGACAGCCATCTCTGATCTTCCTTGCCACAGGTGCCATTGATCTCTTTTATATTCTATGCTCACTCTTAGTAACATCATCGTAATTGCCAGAACCACCATTTAGTTTCATGCTACAGGACTTTAATTTGTGCCACTGCCTATGCACCTCTGCCTCCATCCTCTGGAGCACCTCTAGACTAAAGCATCACCTCTGGATCCTCCCTGGCCCATTCCCACCACCAGGTTGACCCCTCTGCCCTTATGCATGGTTACCTTTTATAATAATAGCTTTTTCATCACACCTAAGATTTGCTTTTCTCCCCTAGAAGACTATCAGTGCATTTTACTCTGAAATATATCTTATTCTTCTACGATCTCTGGTGTGCAGTTAGTGCCTAGCACATAAATAAAAGAGTGTTTGTGGGATCTCGGTCCTGCATTTGCTGACTCTGGTGCTACTGAATTCTCACCCTCATAACTCAGCCACGGCCTGCTGCTATGCTCAGGTGTGTGGGCAAGCTGGATCCCCTATGCTCTTCCTCTCACGGAGCCATTCCTCTATGAGCAGAGGTGTGGGAAAGGGCAAACTTGCAATAATACAAAGAACAAAAACACAACATAATTTGTATGTTAAATGTTTAACCAAAATTTTTAGCAGAGTTTTTTAAAGTAAAAATACAGGGAAAAAGTCATTATAAAATAATTTCATCATTTGAGAAAACTACAGTTAGTATGTTTAGGTATTTATTTTTCTTTAGTTGAGATCAACTATAATGCAAAATTTCTTTTCTCGGTTTCCTCAGTTACTATCTTACAAACAATTTGCCATGTCATTAAAAATTATTCACAGATATCATTTTAACGAGTCTGTATAATAATCCATTAAATCAGTTAAATTTGAATATAACTAAATCTAGTATTCTGGCAACTGATTTAAAACAAAATAACAAATCTACACCAGAAACTGTCATTTAAGATAAAGTGGGGTCCTCATATATGCCCTCCATCTTTTTCTCAGCCTAGCTCTCTCTCATTCAAGTTGAGCTATGTTCTTGCAAACTTTGCCTGGGCAGGTTAGGAATGAAGGATTCGTACAAAATAAACAGAGCATGAGAAATATCTATCAAACATGAGTTTAATTGTGTGGTATATCTTTAAAACATTAAAACAATATTTTCTGTAGCTAAATTAATCTATAGATACATAGTCTATTACATTAAGAATTGAGTTTGGGACAGATGTAAAAATGTATGAAAATTTTCTCTTTTGAGTTCGGACCAAAATGATTCAGGACAACTAATTTCACATGTTAGAGCATTAGAAAATGTATAACAACCAAGACCTCATTCTCACCGCCATCACTGACTTCCTGTGTAATGAGATAAGAATGTTTCCAGGCAGAGGGAGACAGATTAACAATAAAAAATAGGCAAAGTATTGCTACAGTAACACACACCAAATGCGTTCCATTGTAACAATAGGTGACTGCTTCACAGCAAAGGAGTCCAGTAGGAAGGGAGACAATGCTTACATGGAAGGAGAAACTTTTAGAGCTGGTAGGAGACATAGAGATAGATAATTTACTCCAGGTCCTAAATGTTATAACTGGGAAACTGAGGTCCAAAAAAGTTGTCTATTCATTGATCTGTTCATCTAACAAATATTCATACTATAGCAGACTTGGAACCAGCACCCGTATTTCCTTATTCCAGTCCAGAGCTCTTTCTAGTACACTACACTCCCTTTTCTGCCTTGAAGTAAGAAAGGCATCATATTCCTTCTTTTTGTTGCTAAACCACAGTGTCATAAATAATTTCACTTTCAGAAAGAATAGGGGAAGATGTTATGTAGGAGATGATTTCATTGCTAAAAGCAAAAAGACATAATTGGTAACAATAAGCTTGAACTACACTAATGCATCAAATCATATAAATTGCTGTGAAATAGTTATCAGAGTTTTATGAAACATAAGTATGCTCTTTTTACTTTCTGAAAAATATTATGTCTGATGCACTTATGTACTCAGCTTTCTGTTTTAAGAGAACACGAGATTTTCTATAAATATTTTATATATGAGAATAAGAAGATTTTAAGTTTTATTTATCTAGCAGAGACAGCAATAAAAAAGGACATTCTATCTTAAGGTACATTTACTTCTAACTCATTCATCCTGTAAACATTGTTAAAGTGAGAGCCGCGCTGAGCAAAAACAGTATCTGAGCAAGAGCTAATCACATGAGTAGAGTAGTAAATTTTTAAACATTTTGTCTTTATTGTTGAAAGCATTATGATGTCCCTCCTCTTCCCCCTCATGGACCGCCTTCTCCGCACTTCTGTCTGTATGCAGTGGTTGTGCACATGTGCACATAAGTTCTTTGGTTTATCTTTCTGCCCCCTGCCCCCATTCCCGCTGAGGTTTGTCAGTCTGTTCCCTATAGAGTACTAAAATTTTAAGATGAGAAAAAAATAAACTGGAGTGCTCCCATATACACTGGCAGTCAGAGGTCTGTCTCAACCCTGTCTAGTTGTTGCTATAACCACAACCGTTGTTTAATGAACACTTAGAAAGGGGGAAATCTATTACACTTTTATTCTTCTAGTAAAATTTAAGATTCAACAGCAGAAAAACAATTCAAGATCAATAGCTTAAAAAGTATTAAAACAGAACACACTTGCAAATGAAACAGTTTCGTGCTAGGTATGCTTAACTACAGTTACTAGTGAGCATTCACTGGACTGCAGGCATATTTGGGCAGAGGTTCATGAACCCCTTTCCATGCTGGCCTTCACAGGACATGGGTCTACACAGAGCGTGCCCCCAGTCACTGGTCTACACAGAGTGCTCACAGACACAGGTTTACATGAGTGTTCATGGACACTGGGGTTAAATTCACGACACTGTATCACACAGTGACTCCAGAGGTAGACACTGGCCTATGAATGACTATAACACATTTAAAAAAGGTGAAAAGCAGCATATGAAAGATAATATACCCAAATCCAAACAGTGGTATATGTAGGAATCATGGGAGGAAAAAGTAGCAGAAATATTATTCATAAGGGAAAAGGACAAAAAAACTTCTGGTATTTTCTTTGGTTCAAATAGTACTCCCATGGGGAAGTTTACCAATATGTTCACTTGGCATTGAACATAGTGCTTCGTGGCCACAGAGAGTCTTAGTGACAGTTATAATGGACTGACTCCTATTGGTGAGTCACCTATACTCTTTTCGACCATTAAGCGTCACTAAGGTCGGCAATCAGAATGAAGATGCTTTCTGGCCAGGATTGACATAAGGAAATTTAGATATGGGCATTCTGATTTGGATTTCCAGATGAAAAGAGATAAAGGCCAAGCAAGATTCTGGTGGCTTCAGCTGAATATATAGATATGGGGACTGTGCTAGTCCTAGGCGTAGGTATGTGTCCCAGTGTTGCGCTTCCTAATGCTTCCCGGTTATTTAGGAATAAACCCTGAGTTTGTTCTTCATTTACCTCCTCTCTGACATCACTCAGACGTGGTCTAAAACCTGGTTATTATTATGGAAGAGTTACTTAGCTTAATGTGGTCAAGAGTTGGTTGGTGTTCTAAGATTCATAGCAGGCCACAAGTAAGAGAGAGAGAGAAAAAGCTATTATAAATTAATCTGGTGCATGAGAATTCAGATAGGTTGTAAAAACTCGATTTGGATTTTCTTCTGTAATAGATACTAATGAGAATTAGTAACTCAGAAATTAGGCATCAGTTTTCTCTTAGATAGGACAAGGGTCTCAAGATCTCGGTGGCTCTCAATGCTGTTCTTGCTAGGTGTTAAATAAAATGCACAGTATTCCGCAGCTGCAGCTGCAACAGGATGAGCTTGACCAGAACCACAACTAGGTAGGTTTTGCCAACTGCAAAGAAGAAACTGACAAGTAATGAACCAAAGAGTATATATAAGCAATGGCCATGCCTCCCTTTGGGAAGACAGAGCTTTGGATGTGAGTCTTATTTGCTGCAAGTAAATAAAACTAATGACAACCATGTCTTGTTCTCAAATAAGAACATCCTAAGTGGCAAACTCCTTGAGTTTGGTAACATTTCTATGTGTTAGCAATTAAACACAAGGGTAGATTATTACATATCATTTTAGATTATTTGTCTGTAGAATGAT